ATTTTGGGGGGAAATTGTATTATTTTTCTTACAAAATCTGAGACCAAGCGTTTCACATTGCAAGATAAGTACAGGTAACAATAACAAAATAAACAACGCCGGCGCAGCAGCACGCCACGGTCTGCAGCAGAGGATGGCAGTGTTTGAAACCCTCCCAGCGGGACAGGGGAGCTCATTCCTGGGTCGGAGCTGGCTCGCAGCAGCGCGCCACAGGCTGCAGCACGTGACGGCGGGGCAGAGGAGCTGAAACCTGGGCCGGATCCAGTGCGCAACGGCGCACAACATGGCTCCAGCAGGTGATGACTGTGTGATTTTTATTCCCAGCGGGGCAGGGGAGCTCATTCCTGGTCCGGAGCCGGCCCGCAGCAACAGCGCGGTATAGCCTACATAATTTGGTATATAAGTCGCTCCGGAGTATAAGTCGCAGGACCAGCCAGACTATGAAAAAGTGCGACTTATAGTCTGGAAAATATGGTAGTTATTAGTACTTGAGATAAATTAGCAGGCTAAATATATTTCTAAAACGTAATACTTGTTTGTATCTTGTACAGCCAACTAGCCTTTATTCTGGACTCAATACAATTCACCAAAAGTATAGAGACATTATACAGATGAAGTAAGCACAAGATAACTTACTGGAAGAAACAGAATTATCATGAGAACCAGAACAAGAGAGCCCAATAACAGTCATGTGAAAATAATAATTAAAAAGTATGTATGTATAATAGAAATAAAAACATATTAGAATCTGTGTAACTCACTGTGATCCAAACAGTAAATCAGCCATAGCTGATTAGCACTCATGAAATGAGGTCTGGGAGTTTTTAAGTTTCATTCTTTTACTACATTTTTTTTTCTTAGATCTGTTAAAAGGTCACCATGGCAGCTTGTGTGTCTTCAACATCAGCTACACAAAGCAGCAAGTCTATGTACCAAGGACCTGTTTTGACCACTTCATGTATGGTTTTGTACTTTAAACAGCTAGGCCAAAGCTGTTATTTTTTTCTCCATAGCGATTTGGATCATTGGAGACAACTACGTGAGATGCGGTGCCCAGAGAGCTGCAGAGACACTCGGAGACAACCTAGACCTCCCTGACGTCCGTGTCTCCTGGTTCGGTTGGGGCGGACTGAGGTGGAAAGACCTTCTCCCCTTCTTTTTCCACTCCCTGCGAGGAATAGCAGCTCCTGATGTCCTTCTCATCCACTGTGGTGGCAATGAAATGGGGGTGGTCAGCAGTGCGAAGCTGGTCCTGCACCGGCTTCACCTTCTACACCCTCAAATGATGATCATCATGTCATCCATCACCCAAAGGTGTAGATGGAGGGCAGGTGTAAAACCTGCTAAAATTGAGAAGGCCAGGAGGTTTGTCAACAGTATTATGGCTACATTTATTTCTAGCTTAAATGGTGCAGTTGTTGTGCATCCTCACATCAGACATGACAGTCCAGGGATATTTTTGTCAGACAAAGTTTAAATCACAAATAGGGGAAACTATATTTTTTAACTAAAATTGCCGATTGTCTTAATGGCCAGCTCCAAAAGCAGTGAAAGACTTCCAGGTGGGAGTCTCGCTGCTTTTGAATTTGGCCTTTAGGACAAATTTATTTTCAGGCAAACAGGATAACCATATCCCTGACTGTTATAGCTAATGTGTTGATATAATTTATCTAAAGCCATAACGCTGTTGGCAACTCTGCTTTTCCTTCACAACACAATGTTCCACTCACTCTGCAGCTCTCTGGGCCCCTTTAATTATTTTAAGTTTTTTTATTGTACCGACACTTTGTGTCCTGTTATTTTATAAAATATGATGTAAAAAAATAAATGCTTTTGCTCAATTACTGGAATTTCTTTGGTTAAGACAAAAATGGAAGGAAGAATCATTTATGCCAAGTTACTTCTACAACAGGCCTGTTTTAAGTCCAACAGTTTCTTAGCAGCCAATAGAAATGTGTTCTTTACTAACTTTACTTGGTTTAAAAATCTTATTAAAATAAACCTTAGAGGCTGCCGTGTTGCAAAACCCAATCATACTTGTTATGTAAATATAGCTTTGTAGATATTTGTAGATATTTTTTACAGATAGATATTTGTGTGCTAAAAAAACATAAACTTAAATAATTTGTCATTCTTTGTTGAAAAACAACAAAAAGAGTGGGAAAATGATAATGTGAAGTATTGCTCTATAAATGTAATACTATTTATCTTTAAAAAGAAAAACTCTAAAAATGTCCTGTACAGCAACATGACAGAAGAATGGTGGTCTGTCAGAATGTGCTGAACAGATTCGCTCTATCAAGAGGAGCCTTTTGTGTACGAGGTTCCCCTTGAGTAATATTGGTTTGGGTTGTGTATCGCCACATCAGCATGTAAATGCTGAACCAATCTGGAATAAAGAGGGTTGATAGAGGATAAACAAGTGAATAAGAGAGAAAAATAAAAACAACTAGGAAACCAACATAAAAAACAGCAACCAGCTGCTGCACCTGTAAAGAAA